GAGAGAGAGAGAGAGAGAGAGAGAGAGAGAGAGAGAGAGAGAGAGAGAGAGAGAGAGAGAGAGAGAGAGAGAGAGAGAGAGAGAGGGACGGAAATATTACACCGTCTGTTGGTGAAGCGTAATTGTAGATAGATAAAGTAGGCGATGCCACCACACTCACACAGAGGGGAAACTTCAGACATTCATTTGGTGGAGTAGAAATGCATCTAGAGAAAGGAGCAGCAGTGTGGAAGGCACCGGGGTAGGGGGGAGGGGGCGTATGAGCACAGGTGTGCAGATGACTGATGGGGATAGTGAGGACATGGGGAGATAACAGGTCCATGCAAACAGATAATTCATCGATGCCGAGCCAAAGTCAGGATGAAGTTAAACATGCACAAATATTCAAGTTATGATCCTGGGTATCTCACAGTGCAAAATCTCAAAGAAAGACAATGCCATTCAATAGCAACTGGAATGAAAGAGACTTAGAAGAGAAATAGACAAAGGAAGAAGAAGAAATGAGAACGGAAGAAGAAGACGATGAACACAAGAAAGAACCAATGTCACTTTTTTTGTCCCACCGACTCCCTCTTGCAACATCTCCCCAAACATGTATTAATATAATAATGAACAACAGTGTCAACAACAATAAATGAAGAACTAGAATCAATATCCGAATCCTCCCCTTCCTGCCAGCCGCTCAAGACGTCCACCATAGCCAACCTACACCTTCTTGAACTTCTTCCACTACTTGGCTAAGCCGGTGGCTAAGGCGGACTGTCGGAGCCTAGCTCCGATGTTCAAAGGACAACGCAAAGTTGCTCTGCCTCTGCCACCATGGCTGCCATGCCACAATCTAACCCTGGAGTTTTCCTTCCAAGTATCACCACACATGGGCCCTTCCAGGTGCAGCGCCAACCAAGAAGATGAAGATGCAGACCACCATAGCCAAGGTAAGCTCCTTCTTCACACTCCTCCTCCTCCTCCTTCCTCCTTCTTCTTCCTCCTTCCTCGTACCTAGGCCTCCGCCATATCTAGACCTTCTCCCACCTCCGCCTTGGACACCTCCACCATAGCCGAGGTGGGGGCCAAGTTCCGTCTCCTTCCTCCACCCATTGCGGTACTTGCTGGGTGAGGGCTCCAGCAGCCAAGTTCACGCCAGCAAATGAGGCTGAGCTCTTCGCCTCCCCTCTTGATATACCGGACCGGTGGCTCTTCCCTTGTGACCTCCCGGCAACTGCGGCATCCTCCAAGGCCTACCTGCTATCCTACTTTGCAGTCCCTAGACCTAGCCTACTGGACCGGTACCTACCCCTAAGCCTAGCAGACTCTAAAACGCTAGCAGGCCTATCCAAAGGTACTACGGTACTAACTTTTTGTCTCTTTCTGCTACACTACCGGCTACTTCCTGATTTTGGCCTCCGCAGGTCTCTCTTTTCACCTACTCTACCCGCTGCAACCCCGGACACACACAGGTTAGCACCACGCGCGTGGGCCATTTCAGCGCACAGACCATCGTCAGCGGGTCACACACCCATGCACACACAAGTTCTCAGTCCAGCGGGTCAGCACACAGGACACAGATATCATCAAGCACTCTGACCACACACGCACACACGCACCAAACACAGAAAATCACAGCAGAACGCGGTAATCTCAGCAAATCAGTCCAGCAAGGAGCAATACTCAGAAAAAGCAGATTTCTCACTCTGCAATTTGGCAGGTCATTACACAAAATTCTTTTGAATGGTCCATCTGGACATCCGTTAAAATTAGAACGCTACAGAGAAGATTAGCATCGCCCCTGCACAAGGATGATGCACATAAATCAACAAATGGTCCAAATTCTTTTCAGAAAAGGAAAAATCGTTTGAACTCTTAAGAATTACGATACCCAGCTACGGTTCCATATATATGCTGGAAGACACCAATAGAATAGCCTAACATTACTTCCATTTGTACTACCGTCTTCACCTGAATAAAACGCCCGGTCATTGTTGCTGCATCCGGTCCGAAAGTTGGCCCAAATACAGCCATAACGACCGCGCGTTCTATTCGGGTGAAGACGGTAGTAGGGCATTTTCCTCACTCTGGCGTCTAAAGAGGGGAGCATAGTCATTCCTTGCTCCCCAAGAGTAGACCCACCTTAATTGCAATGATCACATTGCTAACCTAGGTACAAACTTGGAGAGTCGAAATTGTACAGTCACCTGCACTGCTTAATTTTCCATGTACGCATGCAGTTGTGTGCTCTTATCCCCATAAATAGATGTTAGATACTCTTTGTGGGAGATAATAATGCATGGATGCTTCAAAGTCCGAACATCACGAGTACAGTCACAATGCCGAGGAACGATGTGGACTATATGTTGAGAGAAGAAGGAAAAAGAGGGCAAGGACTGTTGTTCATCCCAATCTGCTGAAATTGTCCTTCGAAAAAAGAAAAAAGAAAAGAAAAACCATAATATCGTTGCCTACATGACATCCAACCTGGGCTGCACCCAAATAGAATGCCCGGTCATTATAGCTGTATTTGGTCCACTTTCAGTCCAGATACAACGATAATGACCGGGTGTTCTATTCGGGTGGAGACGGTAGTCTTCACAGACTGTTGGCTTGGGCTCCTGTTAGTAGTCCGAGCTGATTCTTGTCAGATAAGACTATGTATACACTGTTGCACAAGCAAAGAAAGGTCATGAGCACAAGTTCTGGTGTAATCAGATTACAAGCAAAGAAAATACGTTGTTGTATTTAGGAATCTGCCTTTTTTTTTCCTACTTACAATGTCTTACATTGCATAAGGTGCCATTGGGACTATTTCCAAATAGTGTGTCTTTCGTAATCCATGTAACCACTCCAGGGTGCAATCTATAAAGCAATGAAGTGCTTGCTCGTGTGGTTAAATGGTACGCGTAACTGTTGATGAACCAATCATCAGTTCCAATCCTGAGGGAATTAGACCGATACAATAAGATCAGAGGCTATGCCCCCTTAAAAAACAAAAAAACAAAAAAAAACAAAAAAAACAAAAAATAGGAAGCAAGAGCTTGTTAACAGCAAAATCCAACGACTTACGACATAGGCACAGATGCATGCAAGACAAGATTTAGACCAGGTGCAGATAACAGAGCAAATGAGTGTAGCTGGTAAGAGCAAAATCTAACGATTTACATCAAATCGAGATGGCAGTGGCTTTGCAGTGAATGGCATCACCCGTCCTTCCATAAAACCCCAAGGCATCGTCGATCGCCTGCAGCTTATGCGTACCTTGTACCCTGAGAGGATGCAGCAGCGACTCCTTGGGAGAAGACCGGTGTCCCAGACTGCTTCCAGGCCTTCTCTGAGTGCAACAGCAGCTTCATTCAGCAGCTGTGAGCAATCTACTACATTTATACCACTCAAACGGAAGGCCAGAAGAGCAGAAGCGACCCCCTGCGGTGAAATTGTCTCTGCCAAGGCTTTGCAAACAGCAGACATTCCTTCATATGCTGCAACTCGAAGCTCTGCTTCTGCCTGTCCATGTCAGCCAGCCAAGCAATCCTTATGAGTTCTTGCAACTACAAGTGATTTCTATTTCCACAGACAAGCACATGCGCATAAACAATTCCACCACCCTCAGAAAAAAAGACACATGCTTCTTTCGAAACGAATTTTATTGTTTTGTATTGTATGGCTTTCTGCACTGCACAGATACCGCAGAGAGAGAGTTATTATTTTATGAAAAGGGCAACAGACTTGAGACATCGTCGTTGAACCGACTGTCCCCAGGTAATTCTGAAATTTAGAATTATTTGGTTCCATTCCTCTGGATCCGAGCTCAGGTCTGTATTGCAATAGTTCATGGGTTATTGCTGTCTGCCGACGCTTACCATTTATTCTGAATATCATGCCTCAACAAACACGATACTATGTGCAGCTAAATGATGGAACAGCCAGCATCACCAGCAAGGCAGAGCACAGAAAACCAACACAAACCGACAACATGCGGTACTCTGTCCTTTCTATCGACCTCAAGTTTTGAGTGGATCGGAGGATCCTCAATAACCACGTTCATGGATCTTTAGTCCCGAAAGCTGCTGATATAAATTGATAATAAGTGCACTCAAAACTCGAGCCCTGACACTGTTCTGCAACATATCAATCCAACAGTTTGCAAAACCACTGTCCTCTGCTCATTAACTTCTGAGTTCTGACACATTTTCTCCAGCAGGTGTAGCTCTCCACCAATGGAATGGAGCCAGCCACTAGAAGGCCTCAACCCTGTCGTTTTTTTTCCCACCACAGGACAGCAGATCTTCCTCAGATGTTTCACTAAAAACAAAAAAAAAAAAACATCTTCTGAGAAGTTCTGACACATTTCAATACCCTCAGTATCACACCGAGCAATCAGTACCCCTCTTCCAACCACCATGTCCTGCTTCCATTGCATTGGCAGTGCAAATGAGGAGGATGGCCTACAAGTAGGAGGGGTGGGGTGGGGATGTGAGAGGGGGCAAGGGGTGATAAAAAAAACTATGTTCTTATGATGTTCTGGGCATGGCTCTATTGTACAAGGTGTTAAAGGGAGACAGCTACCTCACTTGTCGGTCTCATCCTTTTCCTCGCTGCATTAACGAAATCCAATACAAACCGCCACAAGAATATGGTCGCTGACGACAGTGCATCTGCTTCCAGGGACCATTTATGCCACCAAATACAGTAGTCTTGGACAGTTGAGAGAGCCAGAACCTGGTCAACATTCAGGTGTTCAATTACAAATTACAATGTGTCAGGAATCAGGATTGTTGGGCAGAATGCACTTCTGCCCATAAAGGTCCTACAGGTCCTGCACCCTGATGCCATAACACAATACCACTACAAAGAAAGGTTTTGAGTCTTTGACTACTTGTGTAGTACCAGATGAAATTCACACTGCACGAGACTGTACTCTCACAAAGGACGCAATGTGAAACATGATAAGACTCCCGCATTGCCCTTCTGTCTCATTGGGCCTCCCTCCACTACTGAACATTCTACATGCATTTGGACAACTTCCTGGAACGGGTGCACTCGGACGAGTACTTTGAATATATTGGGATGATTATGAGCTCCAGATGCATATTGAGTACTGTGCAGTCGAGTGAGGCCCATCTGCTCAAGGGTGATGAATCATTTGTCTCAAGGCCCTCAACTATGTATAATTAGGGAATTTAGGGAAAAGGAAAAGGACAAAAAAAGAAAGGGCGATGAGTTGGCCCAGTCGTGACACAATGCTGATTCTTGCACTTCTTCCAATGCCACCTGAGTTATCACCCAACTCCAGTGACAGAGGCTCATATCAAAGGCAGTAAAATGGCAGACGAAGAAAGAAGAAACAACCAGCGAAAGGAAAAAACTAGTATGAAAGCTAGAAGATGCGGCAGAAGAAAGGATCAAAGGGAAAACGGGACTGGAAATCAGCCAAGTAGTGAAAACAGAAGAAACAGAACGGAAGAAACTCCTTCAGGACATCTGTTAGAATTGGAACAATACGTCCTTTGGCACATCCGTTAAAATTGGAACGATACAGAGAAGATTAGCATGGCTGCCATGGCCCCTTTTAAGGGGGAAAAAAAGAATTGGCACAATACTGAGAAGATTAGCATGCCCCCTGGGCATTCAAGGATGACACACAGATCCAGAAATGGTCCCAATATATTTTCTTAAAAGTTAAAATGAAGAACAGAAGGAAAAAGAAAGGAAATGGAAAAGTGGCTGAGTTACGGGACGATCGCATCTATTGGAAGGAATGGCACAACTCTAACTCAGGAAGAAACGCTGTACAGCAGAGCGCAGCACACGGGGCAAAGCTCCCCCGGATCAGAACTCTAAAGAGAAAGCTTCGGACTCGGACCACTACACTTGGGGAGCTGCAGTCGGGGTCAGGAAATACGCAAACGGAAGGCGTGAGCAGGGGAGGAGAGTTTTTAAAAGGACACTCCCAAACGAGGAACAGGGTTTAGGGTTTAGGGTTTAGTTAGACCTCAAGAGAAGGGAGAAGGCTTAGGGGTTTAGGGGATACGGCGGCTTATGGGCAGAACAGAGGGGGGGGAGAGCGCAGGCATACAGAAATAACGAGCGAACTCTTCGAGGGGAAAAAAGAAAAGGAAGACGGTGACCCACGGGCAGGGCTGAGGAGAGGGAAAGCACAGGCAAGTAGAAACAATGGGCGAACTCTTTCTAGGCGACAAAGGTTTATCTGGCAGAGCTGGTTTTTCAGGTCTGAGAGGAAAGAGTGAGTCATGGCAAGCTGACAATCAATCCTCCACCTATCGTGGAGTAATCAATGCTGCTCAGGGATCCTCCGCCCATACAGGAGGAAGCGTGAGTTTTCTGCTGTAATGTAATATATTTTCTGACTTGCTGGTGGAATAGGAACCGGACTGACACTCCCCAGAATAGAAGGAGCCAGGACCATAAGGCCCTGTTTTAAAATTTAAAAAAAAAAAAAGAAAAAAAAAAGAAGGAAAAGAAAGGAAAAGAAAGGAAAAGCTTGGTGACTTCAGTACCCCATGAAGTCCACTGCTTCTCAAACTCGGTCCATGTCTGTGTCTGCTGTTCGGCCTACAGATTGACTGTCCACAGACTCCACACTGAACATCGGCAGCGTAATTTTCATTCATTTTTGTCACAATTTTCAATTTTCTGAAAAAAGTTAAGCTGTTAAAATCATCAACTCTCACCAATTTCTATCGTAACATGGTAACATACATGCATATCCGTATATCTCAACCATATGACAACTTTTTTTTTCATTCCTTTTCCTTTTTTAAGTTCTGGTTTTAAAAAAACACAGATCAAAAGCGAACGTGCCGCCCTCCGCAACAGTGCACAATCCCATTCGCAGCTTGAAGCCCGTTGTCAAAGAAGGTGGACGATGCCAGTCCTTAAAAGTCCATTGTCTCTTCCGTAAGTCAATGTTTTATTGATGCGCTGTCATCTTTCATCTCCCGCTCATCATCCAAATCAAACAGGCACTTGAAAGTTTAACGAAAGGAACAGCAAGCTGCATTAGCGCAGCGCCGCGCCACCGCGGTTGCTGCGTTAGCACAGTGCCATGCCTGAATTTTTTCCATGGATGCCCGCCGCGCTGGCACTTCGTCCTCACGAGGTGCAGGCAGCAGGGGATCGCACGGGAGCAGCTGCAAACTAGATTCCCTAGCCAGAGCTTGCCGTTGGGAGTGGAGGAGGCGGAGAGGTACAAGAGCGTGTGGGTGCTGAGGGGGACACCGCTTCGAGGGGGCACTGCTATGCGCATGCCATAGCCCAATCTTGGCCGATGTGAATTGGTAATCCTTGATTGACCGTAGACGGAAGGGGAGAGATGTGAGTTCGGTCAACAGGCAGGATTTGCGCATCGTTTATGCCAGAATTACCACCTGATTTGCCTGCTGGTTATCGATACGGAGCGTGATTGCATCGTTGGAGTGCCAGCAGTTTGATTTGGATGATGAGTGGGAGATGAAAGGTGACAGTGCATCGATAAAAAACGTCGACTTCCGGAAGAGACAATGGACTTCACGCCAGGACCGGTATCGTCCACCATCTTTGACAACGGGCTTCAAGCTGCAACTGGGATTGTCCACTGTTGCTGATGCTCCTACTTCGGGCGTGATGTTTGGATTGGAGATGAGTGCTGGGTGGCTGGAAGGGGAACGGAAGAAGAAGAAGAGGAAGCAGATGGCGCAGAGAAGAAGGTGGCAAGGAAACGAGATGGAGGAGGGAAGAAGATGGTGGAAGAAGAAGAAGAAGAAGAAGAAGAAGAAGAAGAAGAAGAAGAAGAAGAAGAAGAAGAAGAAGAAGAAAGGAGAAAGAAAGAAGAAAGAAAGAAGAAGAAGAAGAGGAAGAAGAAGAAGAAGAAGAAGAAGAAGAAGAAAAAGAAGAAGAAGAAGAAGAAGAAGAAGAAGAAGAAAAAGAGGAAGAAGAAAGAAGAAAGAAGAAGAAGAAAGAAGAGAAGAGAAGGAAAGAGGAAAGGGATACAAATGGGTGTAGTCTCTAGAGCGGTGTAAAGGGGTGTAAACACTGTACAGGGATGTTATCGTGTATCTTGAGTCTTGACTACTTTTCTTTTTTCTTTTTTTTATCTTGGTCCTTGGACCCTCAGCCAAAAGTCGTTTGTACTATCATTTTACTCAATATATGTTTTCGTAACTTTTTTCAATGTCCTCTGGATCTTTCAAACTTTTTAGCTTGTCAATGTTGTCGTCCTTTTTTTGTTTTTTTGCACTGGGACTGCCCTGCACCATGCCCGGCCAGGCGTGCCCAGGTGGAACCCGTGCAAACCTCTGGGGTTCTGGGCCGCCCAGATCTTTTTTTTTTTTTTTTTTTTTTTTTTTTTTTGGGCCGCCCAGAACATAACATAGCCAAGATGTCAATATTGAGCCATAATGCAGCAGATCATGCTCAGTTGTAAAACTCTGAGAGGAAATAGCAAACATGAGAAAATGTACCAAAAAGTACGTACTGCTCTGTTGACAGCCGCAGCGTCTTCCGGACACAGGCGACGAGATGGCTGTGCACCCAGCCTCCCCAGTGAAGAGTGTGACTTCGCCTGAGGCTTGACTTGCCTGATGAAGGGCTCATCCCAGAGCACTGACGATGCTGCTGCTGCGTACGCCAACAGCTCATCCTGCATAGCCCAGTTCGTCAATGAACTCAGTGCTGAATTGGTAATGGGAGTTGACGAAACTTCAGCCAAACACATGCAATGACAATAATCTGAAGATTATGCAACGGACATACCATCCTTTTTTTGTTTTTTTTGTTTTCCTTTCTATGACATTTCCATAACAACAACGGACATACCAGATGGGAGAGACATGCAAGCATGAAGGCCATGTGGGCGTCAACGAGGTGAAAGGCAACGGAAGTTGCACCCAAAAGACAGAAAAGGAAAGAAGGAACCATCTGCAAGAGAATGAAAAAAGCCACACACAAAGAACCATGCAGACGAGAATTACGAGGAAAAAGTAATTAGACACTGAAATTATCGAAGAGAACAAAAATATGTGCCATGCTGGTGCGTCCCTACGCTGCGTTTCATCCGCCCGCCAGCGACGGAATCGTCAGGGGACTGTTGAGAAGCAAAAACAAACAGCGATTCCGCAAAAGACATATGATACTGGGCGATGCCGGAGGAAACTCTGGTAGTCACTCGCAGCGATACGGACGCGCAAATCGTTCTGTCTGACTTAAGTATAGGGACGAAAGACTAATCAAACCGTCGAGTAGCTGGTTCCCTCCGAAGTTTCCCTCGGTATAGCTGGAGGTGCTGAACAGTTTCATCGGGTTAACAAAAAGATATGATGCTGATGCTGCAGTGCATATGCATCACCTCCCCCTACATGGCCCGGTTCCAAAATGAAGCCACAGCTGATGGAAAGTTTATTGAAGTTCATTTAGATATTACAAAACCGTTTAGGGGACAAATTGGACAATGCATGCAAGGATTATCCAAGTTAGTGGAACTGACATACACAGAATTGCAACCCATTGTATCATTTTCGGGACTCGGGATGCGCTAGATGTGCCAAGGATGCAGGAGTCCCGTGGGTAGGTCTACCAGTCGGACCCAAGTCCGGGTAAAAAACTCGGGGAAGATTCAGCAGAAAACCTACATCGGCGGGCTTAGGGAGACCCTACATTACCAGTAGGTAGGTCTGGGCTCTCTAGCCTAGGAGAAGTATAATAAGAAGGCCTCTTCACTGAGGCAGAGTTCAAATAGGTAATGGGTGAGAGAGAAAGCGAGCAGGGTGGGGAGTGGAGGGGAGAGAGAGAGA